AGAGGTACTGCAATCAAATACTCATAGCCTCAATAGATGTAGATGCATGCAAGGAAAAATTGTCATTTAAATTTTTTAAATTCCAAAATAACAAAGATGGCTGCCGGCTCAGTATGCCTGGCTGTGGCAGCATGGGGTGATGTTGGTATGGCAAGCTGATACCCTGATGCGTTTCGTGCTATGATATGTTGTCAAAGCGCTCGCTTTATCTTTACATCTAATATCTGATGACCCTTTAAAGGTGTATGAGTTACCCAGCCTGGGCACTGACTTCATTGTTGTGACTTGCCTCTCTACCCTGGCCATCTGATGAACAGGCTGCCAGGAAAAGGGAGAGAACAGGAAGAAAGGAACACTCTGATTGGCTGTATCAATGGAGAGGAGTATGGTGCCAGGGGGAGGAAGAGAGAGATAGCAGGCAGAAAGCAGGCAATGGGTGTGATTTAAGTAAGATCCACAGTTGGGGTAAGTGAACCAGTGGGAGCCTGCAGGTACAAAGTGAATATTTTTTGCATTGATTGTTGTTATTTACTGATTGGTGAATCATTCTCCACTTGGTCAGTGCATTTTAGGCAGATTTTGGTGCTTACTGCCACTTTTAATAAAGCAAATTTATCACTATTGGTGTATCTATTTGTTGTTGGGTCCAGTCACAGGGCAGGTTATCACTGGAAGTAGTACAAGAACCCATCAAAATACCAGAAGAGCCTACAGGGTTAGTGTTACATCTATATTTGATCTGGGCTAGTGATTCAGAAAGAATGGAAACCAAAGAAAAAGAATGACAATCAGTGAACTAATATCCTAAAAAAAAAAAAAAGGTAAGTTTTCTCATGAGAGAGTCAATTTTAACACGGACATCCCTATTGGGTAAGTAAGGTCAAAGTGTTTCTGTTGGACAAAACACTATAAAGTAGGAGAGTAGAAAGAAAAGCATAGCCTCCTCTATCCATCCCCATAGCTAATATGTGTAAAGATCCCTTTATTATGGAAGTTACATTTTTACATAAGATTTGATGAATATACAGAATAATACAGAAAAGACCTCAAACATCCTGAAAAACAGACTTTGCATTTTTACTCAATATAGGTATCATGAATCTACAAAAACCTACCAGGGTAAATGCAATATCTAGGTCATCCTTATCTGGTCATTTGACGCAAAATCTCAGTACACTGGAAGTCTTCATCTCTTTCCCAGAATTGCCTAAACAATTCAGTATCAATACAATAAACAGTCACTTTTGTCTTTACGTAAAACTGTAAAAAAGTTTGGAGTTAACGTGATAACCTTTATTGGCTAAATTTAAGTTAATAAAGATACAAGCTTTTGGTATACCTTAGATCTCATCTTCAGGCCCTGTTCAATTGTATAAAGCCTGCATTAATCAATGGATAATATGGTTTAGTACTCTACTATTAGTAAAACTGCTTCCAAACCCATAAACAAAGAAATTGTACCTACTTCTAATCACTGTTGCTCATTTTCCTTACATACTGTAGGAAGCATTGTCATATCTCTCAAGTTACTTCTGTATATTAGCATTAATTGTAAAATACTAAAACATAATGAAAAACTATATTTAATCATTTGTGAAGAAAAAGAAACATCTTTTTGGAATGTTGGTTTCAAAATTAATGGCACAAAACACACCTTGAGCTGAATGAAAAGACCTAAAACTATGTGGACATGACATTCCCTTAAAACTCATCTCAAAAAATATATTATTTTGAAAAGAATTTACATGATACTAATATACAGTTGATGCTCAAATATATGTGAAATAACTGCAAATTTCTAAACCATACATGAAAACATATGTCTAGCATATGATGTAAAATGTAAAAACGGCAGACCAAAGAGCTTGAAGGAAATTGTCCAATTCACCATATTTCCAGAAACATCATAATTGTCATCATGACAAAAATAATATTTTATCTACAAGATAATCAGAAATACACATACAAATCAAAAGATATAAAAAAATAAAGAGAAACTTTCATTCATTGGCAGTCTGTTTGATAAAGATACAAAAGGTGGTTTAGTACAGGAATGTGCATCCTAAGGTGTTGACTGAATATTGAGCCTAAAATAGGGGCAGATCGATAAAGTCAAGCCTATAACAGATATGGTAAATTGCTGAAATACCCAAATATGATAGTTATAGAAGTTTGGTGTATGCACTGAACACCCAAATTATGTGGCAAACAATATGAGTCACATAGGAACTGCATCCAAGCATTGATCCATCTCTCATATGACCACATGCAATTACGTTGTACATACCTGGGTTGAATGTTGAATTGACCCCTTACCATCATGATGCTCCTTGTATGGTCTCCTACAGTGTGTCCATATGTAAGGTGTTCCTGTATCAGTATTTTTTTGTTTCTATGCCTAATTCAGGATAAATAACCAAACCACATAACTCTTTGTACATATTTCAGTACACTAAGGAAGGCGAGGTGACTATGTTATTCTCATTTCTCCAAATGACTGTAAGCAGTAAATCAGTATAACATCCCAGTTGTCAAAGGTGGGGAAGAGGCTGTAATTTCCCAGAAAAATACCTTCTCAACATGGGTCAAAGGAAAGGCAAGAAGACTAGGGATGCCCACAAAGCCTGCTGGCTTCTTGACTTTCACCAGACATGCAGAAAGAATACTATTAAAGCTTCTACGATCTTTCAGAATTCATTGACAAGTGAATAATAGCATGCAGTAGACCTCTTTCTGACCTGCTTCAAGCAAGATTTGTATTTGTATAGGACTTAATGTATATAGGAATGCAAAACCCATATGACACAAAAATGCCTATCAACACAGGACTTTATATAATGGTGTGTTCCTCTAAGATGAGGAGGATATACTCAAATACAGTTTATTCTATGCCATTTTCACCCCTATTATATTGTGTCCAAGCACTATCAGTGAAGGTCAGAGAACTTATAAGTTAATCTCCAGGCAGATATAAAATAGACACCAAATATTGCAGTTTTTATTAAATTCAACTGGTGTGAAATACATGAATTTGACTTCAGCTTTCTATAATGACCATTGCAGCAGCATTCAGACAGGGGAAGGGAGGGACAACATTTAGGGCCCATTAAATATCTTGCAAGCATGTGTGCTAACAAGATGCATGTTGGTAAGAGGAAAGATGACCTCATTAAACTGCTGTTATCATTTACTGTCCACACACAGGCTGGAAGCAGGGAGATGACCTAGCCAGGTCACGTAACTGCAGTAAAGAAAAGTCAAGTCACAAGGCTAGCAGTGCTGTGTAAATTTCAAGACTGAATGAGCAGAAATTCAAATACGTTGGCATGTAAATCAGATTCCATATACAGTTCTCAGCATAGATGAGTACACCCCAACAGATTTGTCAGAAAACCTTTACTTTCCTTTCAGAATCAACATTTTCAATGCAACACTATACTACAAAATACTCCCACAAATGTGGGCCATTTGATTGCAACCAAGATTTGTTAATTTTGCATACACAACAAAGTATTTTTCCTAAAAAATGCATTCAAAATCATGTTGCAAAAATGAATACACCCCAATAAAATTCTTCGGAGCAAAGCTAAATTGTAGACAACAAAATTCCTAAACAAGAATTCAACTACAGGTGAGTCTAATTATTCCTTAAACAGGTGTCCAGCAACTTAAGAAAACCCCTCCCATGTCAAGCTGTCAGCAATGGCACCATATCGAAAATAATGTCACAAGTAGAGATGAGCGAATTATTCAAAAATTCGGTTCGGCTGATTCGCCGAATTCGCCGATTAAATTCGCTTTGTGCCGAATATATTCGCTGCGAATTTAACTTATAAAAAGGGTGTTTTCTAGGCTTCAGAGAGCCTTTATATTAGTGCAGAACACTGTACCTTTAATTTAAATGCCCTTGGAGTCTGCTGGGGAAGAGAAATAATACTGTCAGTCAGTACGACATGCAGATGAGTGCCGTCGATCTTAGAATCACCGCACACTTCACTCATTTGGGCAGTCACGGGGCCAAAACCAGAGTGTGGGAGCCACAGTGTGGCGGTTGGGGAGGCAGCAGCAATGGGAGGCCATACAGCACCCTATGACAAAATGGAACCCACCAGCAGTGTGAGGAGACCTGAAAGTGGCACATGGCAGAGTGTGGCGATGGAGACAGCAGCAATGGGAGGCCGTACAGGGACCCATGACACACTCTGGACCTGGCAGCAGCATGAGGAGGCGGGTACAGGGGACCATGACAGATTACGGGCCTGGCAGAAAGCATGAGGAGTCGGTACGGGGGCCCATGGCAGATTACGGGCCTGGCAGCAGCATGAGGAGGCGGTACAGGGGCCCATGGCAGAGTGGCGAAGCGTAAGCAGCTAAAATTGAAGGCCATACAGAGGCCTATGTTAAAAAGTCCCCCCAGCAGCAGCGTGGGGAGACGACTTATCAAGAGTCCAATGGCAGAGTGGCGGAGCAGAAGCAGCTTCAATTGAAGGCCATACACAGGCCTAGGTTAAAAAAGCGGAAGCCGTCAGCAGCGTGAGCAGACAACAGAGACACATGGCGCAGGGTGGCGGTGGATGCAGCAGTATTCGGAAGCCAAACACAGGCCTCGGTTTTTAAAAATGCTGCGGAAGCCGTCAGCAGCGTGAGCAGACGACAGAGGCACATGGCGCAGGGTGGCGGTGGAGGCAGCAGCAATGGAAGGCCATACAGCACCCTATCACAAAAATGGAACCCACCAACAGTGTAAGGGAGACCTGAAAGTGGCACATGGCGCAGGGTGGCTGGTGGTGGAGGCAGCAGTATTCGGAAGACATACACAGGACTAGTTTAAAAAGCGGAAGCCGTCAGCAGCTGTGAGCAGACGACAGAGGCACATGGCGCAGGGTGGGCGGTGGAGGCAGCAGTATTCGGAAGCCATACACAGGCCTAGGTTAAAAAGCGGAAGCCGTCAGCAGCGTGAGCAGACGACAGAGACACATGGCGCAGGGTGGCGGTGGATGCAGCAGTATTGGAAGCCAAACACAGGCCGGTTAAAAAGCAGCGAAGCCGTCAGCAGCGTGAGCAGACGACAGAGGCACATGGCGCAGGGTGGCGGTGGAGGCAGCAGCAATGGAAGGCCATACAGCACCCTATCACAAAATGGAACCCACCAACAGTGTAAGGAGACCTGAAAGTGGCACATGGCAGAGTCTGGCGATGAAAGTCAGCAGCAATGGGAGGCCGTACAGGGACCCATGACACACTCTGGACCTGGCAGCAGCAAGAGGAGGCGGTGGTACAGGGGCCCATGGCAGAGTGGCGAAGCGTAAGCAGCTTAAATTGAAGGCCATACAGAGGCCTATGTTAAAAAAAGTCCCCCCAGCAAGCAGTGTGGGGAGACGACTATCAAGAGTCCAATGTCAGAGTGGCGGAAGCAGAAGCAGCTTCAATTGAAGGCCATACACAGGCCTAGGTTAAAAAGTCCCCCAGCAGCAGCGTGGGGAGATGACTATCAAGAGTCCAATGGCAGAGTGGCGGAGCGGAAGCAGCTTCAATTGAAGGCCATACACAGGCCTAGGTTAAAAAGTCCCCCCAGCAGCAGTGTGGGGAGACGACTATCAAGAGTCCAATGGCTGAGTGGCGATCCGGGAAGTCAGCGTTGTGATTTGCAGATGCAATGCAGAAATTCTACGAAGTAATGCCGTGGGTTCGAAGAAGATCATTTACCGTCGTACTTCCATCCATAAGACGGAACAACCTGCGAACCGGGAGCTTTATTGCCCTGACCGCTGAGCAGCTTCTGGGATACCCAAGAGGCCCATGGCAGAGTGGCGGAGCGTAAGCAGCTTCAATTAAAGGCCATACAGAGGCCTATGTTAAAAAGTCCCCCCAGCAGCAGCGTGGGGAGACGACTATCAAGAGTCCAATGGCCAGAGTGAGCGGAGCGGAAAAAGCAGCTTCAATTGAAGGCCATACACAGGCCTAGGTTAAAAAGTCCCCCCAGCAGCAGTGTGGGGGGAGACGACTATCAAGAGTCCAATGGCTGAGTGGCGATCCGGGAAGTCAGCGTTGTGATTGCAGATGCAATGCAGAGATTCTATGAGGTGATGCAGTGGGTGCGAAGAAGATCATATACCGTCGTTACTTCCATCCATAAGACGGAACAACCTGCGAACCGGGAGCTTTATTGCCCTGACCCGCTGAGCAGCTTCTGGATACCCAAGAGTTTGGCTTCTGTGGGGAATATGGGTTGAAAACTGAAACTTAAAGGCATGTTGACGGAAGGGCATCAGTGTCAGTGCTCCGGAGGGAATATAGCTTCAAAGCTGACACTTAAAGGTATATCGACGGTCAGAGACCACAGGAAGTGGAGCTTGCGTCTTAAATCGACTGAATGTGGCAGACGTGAAACGTCTACGGGCCGTATATGAAACGGGGTTGTTCCTCTTTCTGGAATAAGTGTTGAAATGGCCACTCTTTTTTGGTGTGGCGTTTTGTCTATTTAAATTCCAATAACGGACTCTACTCCTCCGTGCAATCTAGTTACGAGACCCTGGGCAGGTCTGGGTCCAATTTGTGGTATGAGACTGGTTTTGTTCAGCCATGCTTGAGCGAGTAATAACAGGTCTGTGCTGCCCTTTGGTGTCTGGCTTAATGCGCACAACACTGAACGTCCCAGCATTTGTCAACGATTTGCCGTTAAGTGATGCAAACCCGCTGAACCACGTTCATGAGGAGCGGTACAGGGGGGCCATGAATCAGTATGGACCCTGGCAGCAGTGTGAGGAGACCCGAAAGTGGCACATGGCGCAGGGTGGTGGTGGAGGCAGCAGTATTCGGAAAGACATACACAGGACTAGTTTAAAAAGCGGAAGCCGTCAGCAGCGTGAGCAGACGACAGAGGCACATGGCGCAGGGTGGCGGTGGAGGCAGCAGTATTCGGAAGCCATACACAGGCCTAGGTTAAAAGGCGGAAGCCGTCAGCAGCGTGAGCAGACGACAGAGGCACATGGCGCAGGGTGGCGGTGGAGGCAGCAGTATTCGGAAGCCATACACAGGCCTAGGTTTAAAACTGGAACCCAGCAGCGTGAGCAGACGACAAAGACGCACATGGCAGAGGATGGATCTGGCAGCAGTATGAGAAGGCGGTACAGGGGCCCGTGGCACAGTGTGGTGATGGGGGCTACAGCAACTGGATGCCAGAAAGTGGCCGATAGGGGCTATATACTGCATGGAATTATAAAGTTGTAAAGACAGCGGCCTATAAGGCTATACACACTATAACAATCATGACTTGATTGACCATTGGCCTATAAGGCTATACACAGCATGAATATCATGACTTATTCTGAGAGTGGTTTGGAAGGCTATATACAAAAAGTAATTCATGAGCTGTCCGGACAGCGGACAATAAGTACATATATACAAATCAATTCATCAGCTGTCCAGCCAGCGGGCCTCAAAGGCGACACATATAGAAAGCAATTCATGAGCTGTTCAGACAGCGGGCCTCAAAGGCGACACATATAGAAAGCAATTCATGAGCTGTTTAGACAGCGGCCTCTAAGGCGACAGATATACAAAGCAATTCCCGAGGTGTTCAGGGAGCGGGCCTGAACGGCTAGGTTATTACTAAATATATTTTTGTGGCCAAACATCGGCCTATAAATAGATGTCTACACAGTGACAAAAAAATGATGTCGCCAGACAGCGGCCCCTAAGGCGACAGATATACAAAGCAATTCCCGAGGTGTTCAGTGAGCGGCTTGAACGGCTAGGTTATTACTAAATATATCTTTCTGGCCAAACATCGGCCTATAAATAGATGTCTACACAGTGACAAAAAAGTAGGTCGCCTTACAGCGGCGTATCCTACAAATTGACATTATAAGAAATGGTTTAGACCAAAAAAAAAAAAACTTTGATGCGATGCTATACCTTAGTAGATTGTGGAAAGTCGACAAGTCAAGCGTAACTGTGTACATTACAGAAAATCTTAACAAGACAACCAAACATGTGGCCAACCGTGACCGATACAACAAGTTAACAATGTAAGAAACAGGAGGGGGCCAAAACCGTGGCCAATAAATAAACAGTCCACCTCATTGATGAGATGGACAACACGTGTCAAATAAATATTTTAAAAAAATTGCTATTCCATCGGTCTGGAACTGGTCGACTATAAATAAAGTTTAAATTCATGTGACAGTCGTCCAGCGACGTATAAATAATTTAAAAACACCAATTCATGAGGGGCCCGACCAGCAGAGTATAAGTCATTAAAAAGGTTCAATTCATGTGACGGTCGTTCCAGCGAAGTATAAATAATTTAAAAACCCCAATTCATGAGGGGCCCGACCTGCAGAGTATAAGTCATTAAAAATGTGCAAAACATGAGTGGGCCGACCAGCAGCCTCTCAATAAAATATATATACAAATGTACGGATCAGGTGGAGGTCTTCCATTTGTCCTCCTATAATAACATGTTTGGGGCATGATTCATGGCGGATTTAGTCAGTTGTGTCAGGAACTGGGGGTTTGAAATCCTGAATAATCCACGCCTGATTCATTTTCACAAACGTGAGTCTCTCCACACTTTGGGTGGACAGTCGTGTCCTCCGCGGGAGTTAAAATACCTCCTACCGCACTAAACACGCGCTCCGATGCCACGATACTGGCCGGGCATGACAGCCTTTTCAACGGGCAAATTCAGCTAGTTGGGGCCAAAGGTCAAGTTTTGTTGCCAGTAGTCAAGGGGATTGTCTACCTCGGTTGGCAGGGTGCTGTCCAAGTAGGCCCTAGCCTGTTGTTTGAGGTCCTGCTCCAGGTCCACCTGATGCTGCTGCTGCTGCGGCTGGTTTAGTAGTTTCCTCACTGCTGCTGGTGAAGAAAGCTACTCATCATCGACTGCAGACTGAGGCAGCCGCTGCTGGTGGAGCTGCCACTGCGCTCCTACCACCCCACCCCTCCCTGCTGCCATGGCAGCGGAACGCGAGCGCACAGGGCCCACAGTGTCTGAGGATGGACGTTGGCGCAGAAAGGCAGAGACCAAACCTGACTACATAGGTGGGGTTTTTATAGTACGTTATTTTGGCTCCTCTCAGCAGGTGTGAAAAAGGCCACCATTTTTGAACGGTAGCTTGGGTCCAACAAGGTGGACAGCCAAAAAGACAGCTTTCCTCTGTCTGATGGTTATTATTCGGCTGTCGCTACGCAAGCAACCGAGCATGCTATGGGCCATTTGTGCCAAGGAATGCGAGGGGACTCCCTGCACCCTCCATCTCCACAGCATATTGCCACGGTGCGTCTGGGTCCTCTGTCTCCTCCTCCTCCTCTACCAGATGCTCCTGGCACTCCTCCACTCCTGTCCGCTGAGTGAATAAAAAACCACCCATTTCATATCAATAATTCCTGAGCACCAATGTCCTCCTTTACCTCCTCCTCTTCTTCCTGTCCTGCCCCACAGGGGTCATGCCCCCCCCCTTTGTTTGTGGCGTTGAGATCTGTGCGCCACGTCTACCGCACCCATGACCAGCCATCGTTAACAGCATTTGTTCCAGGACGTGCAACAGAGGAATTGACGTCGTCATCCCATAGTCCTGCCGACTCACGAATAGCGTGGCCTCCTCAAAGGGCCTGAGCAAGCGGCAGGTGTCACGCATGAGCTGCCAATGGCTGACATCTAAGTTTACACAGGGGAGTACCTTTATCCGCTTGTTAACATCAGGAAAATCGGTGATGGCCTTTCGCTGTTCGTAAAGGCGGTCTAACATATGTAGGGTTGAATTCCACCTTGTTGCAACGTCGCAGATCATGGCGATGCTGTGGAATTCCCCGTTCTGCCGCTGCAGCTCATAGGTGGGGTGTGCTTTGCGGTGTAGGGGATTGGGCTGAAAATGCATGCAAAGTTTTACGTGACATTTTAATGGATGTCTTGCAGTGGGGGATGGTGGATTTTAGGAACCGCTTGACAACCAGATTGAAACACGTGAGCCATGCATGGCGCCATGGCACAACCTTCCTTGACGCAGAGCAGACACCATTGTTCTTTCCGTTGTCGGTCAACATGGTTCCGATTTTCAGTTTGCGCGGAGACAGCCATCTGTCGATTTCTCTGTTCATTTACACTCAGAAGTTCCTCCCCTGTGTGACTATGTTCGCCAAGGCATACCAGGTGCAGCCACAGCGTGACACCGTTGCGCTCTGCACATGTGATATATATCCGGTCGGGTAATGGGACTTGGCACGGGGGTGGCGGCTGAGGACACGGCGGAAGAAGAGGGTTGGTAGAGGCGGACATCTTTGCTGGACCAAGGACGTGCAAACGTGGAGGCAAAAGCGGCGTGACCTGTCCAAGTTGCTGGTGCGGCTGTGCCGGCACCACGTTCACCCAGTGGGCCGTAAATGACATGTACTGTCCCTGACCGTAGTTTACAGCTCCACACGTCGGCGCTGCCGTGCACTTTGGCAGAGGACCGACATGCTCAAAGACTGGCCCACCATCTCTTCTACATGTGAATGCAGGGCTGGCACTGCCTTTTTGGCGAAGAAATGCCGACTTGGCACTCTCCACCGCGGCTCGGCACAAGCCATCATTTCTCGGAAAGGTGCTGAGTCCACCACTTGGAAAGGGAGGGACTGCAGCACCAGCAACTTGGACAGGAGGATGTTCAGCTTCTGCACCGTCGGGTGCGTGCTTGCAAACTGTTGTCTCTTGGAAATGGATTGCAAGAAAGACTGCTGACGGAATCCGTGAAGAGGAGTAGCAGGAGAAGGAGCATCTGAACGAGCGGAAGATGCCAACGAGCGACAAACTCCCTTCCCTCAGCAGAGGTGTTGGAGCCTTGACTGGCTGATAGAGGGCGATTGACGTCGGGTGACGGAGCAGTAACGGGAGCGGGGTGATGGAGGCGGGGGCTGGGGCAGGCAAGAAACCGCCGTATCTTTATCACGGTTTTCCCAGGCCACCGAAAATGGCGACGCTGCATATGCTGACGCAACGCTGTAGTCCCAACATTGGCCCCCTGGCCACGCTTGACTTTCTGGCCACATAGTCGACATACGGCTACGTTTACTTCCTCGGGCCGGGCTTGACGAAAAATTGCCACACCGCCGATTTAGGAAACTTTTCCCCCACTACTCCTCACTGGCTGACTGCTACTTCCTCCGTGCACACCGGCACCACTACTGGCCGTGGTGGTAGGCTGCAGTGGAGCTGGTGCTCTACTCACGTGGCCGTTTGGCTCCACTGACACTGCTGCGACCCTGCTGCCTCCTGGGCAAACCCAACCGACTGTTTTGCTCGCTGCCAAAGCTGGCACCCTCTTATCCTGATGATGCGGAAGCAATAGCCTGATGACGACTTGAGGCTGCCAAGTGCGGATCAGCCTCATCATCATCAATTAGGGTCTCCGCGTCACTATAGCCCCTCGGGTGCGTTGTGGGTCAGGAGACAGACCTGTGTCTCTAGACCGGCTACCGAGCCACTCTCCTCGCAGTACTTTCTTCGCCTGGCTGCTGAAGAGGCGGATGTCTCCCCCCGTTCCTGACCGCCCTCTGTTAGCTCTTCCTCACTGTACAGTGGGGGCTGAGCCCACAGCATGCGATACTTCGCTTGGTGAGGGAACACCAAAGGACAGGTGCAGGTCGAGGACACGTGATTTCAGTGGGCTTGCTCCCGGGCCATGCCAACTAACGGTTTGTGTCTGACGTACCCACCGACCGTTGGCTGTAGGTGTCAGAGGTGACCTGGGAAGAGGAAGACGACCGAGTCAACCAATCGATGACGGCAGGGTTGTCGGTGGAGACACGACCGCTGGATGACACCTGGGAGCACTGGCCTCTGGCTGCGACTAGTGCTGCCTCGACCCCTTCCTCTGCTGCCATGTCTGCTCGCTCCTGAAACATTGCCTCTAGAGATGAGCGAATTATTCAAAAATTAGATTCGGCTGATTCGTCCGAATTTGCGGGAGAAATTCGATTCGATGCGAATTTATTCGCTGCGCGAATTTAACTTATTAAAGGGTTTCTAGGCTTCAGAGAGCCTTTATATTAGTGCAGAACACTGTACCTTTAATTTAAATGCCCTTGGAGTCTGACAGTGGGGAAGAGAAATAATACTGTCAGTCAGTATGACATGCAGATGAGTGCCGTCGATCTTAGAATCACCGCACACTTCACTCATTTGGGCAGTCACGGGGCACGACGAAGAAGAAAGAAGA